AAACAGTCCTGCAGTTCCTGCTTTGCTGCGTTAGTCCACTTCTTCACAGTTTTGACTACAGGCTTCGCACGTTTGAGTTTTTGCCTATAAACTGGAATAAGATGGACCATGCAGTGATCAGAATGTCCCAAAGCTGCCCGGGGCACAGAGCGATAGGCATCTTTTAGAGTGGTGTAACAGTGATCCAGTATGATGTTGTCCCTGGTGGGGCGGTCTATATGCTGTCTGTATTTAGGGAGTTCGTGGTTTAGGTTTGCTCTGTTAAAATCCCCAAGAATAATTGTAAAGGAGTCTGGGAATTTCCTCTCCAGGGTAGTAATCTGGTCAGCCAGCTCGCACAGTGCGTTGTTCGCGTTGGCCTGTGGAGGGATGTAAACTCCAACCAGCATGAAGGAAGAAAACTCCTGCGGTGAATAAAACGGTTTACAATTGATGAAAAAACTTTCAAGTTGCTGACTACTTCATTAAGTAATGCAGGGGACACTGGCTCGAAGTAGACGGCTGAGGTCCAAAATGGGAGGGATGATGTGAGACCTAATGTCTACAATTTTATTAATGAAGAATCTCATTAGATTCTCAGATGTTATGTTCGCTGCTATATGAAAATCACTGGGAGGATTAAGAACAAAATTTATAATACCAAATAAAATACGAGGTTTATGATAGTTGTTGAGAGGTACAACAGTGCGTGTCTACAACAATTTGTAAAATATGGTGGAGGCTCTGTGATAGTCTGGGGCTGCATTTCAGCCAGTGGTGATGGGGGTCTCTTCAAAACTGATGGAACTGTGAACACGTAAAGGTAGCATCCAGTACTAACCAACCACACAAAACTATCCTGATTGGCAATGAAGAAGTACTTTACTGTGTATAGCAGCCAAAGAGAAAAAACAACTTCAGTCAAGAAAATAAATACATCACATAACAAAATAGAAAATTACACTAAAGAATGAGTTCAACGTAAACAGATTTTTTAAATTAATGATCTGCATGGTTGGGGTTTTTTTTTTATGGTAAAGGTCTTCCATTAGTTACCCTTCCTGATACAACCCTCCAAATTTATCCAGGCTTGGTACTGACACTAGGAGCACACTGGCTTGTGGCACCCATGGTTGAGAAGAGTCCCAAACATAAATCCACCGCCAGCAGCAGCCTGAACTGTTGATAGAGGGCAGGATGGATCCTTTCATGCTGTTTACACCAAATTCTAACCCTACCCTCTAAATGTCACATAAAAAATTAAGATTAATCAGAACAGGCGATGTTTTTCTTTTCTTCTATTGTCCAATTTTGGTGCAGTATATAGCCTCAATTTCCCATGCTTAGCTGCCAGGAGTGGCACACAGTGTGACCTTTCAAGATTTGATATGTTGTGCATTCAGAGATGCTCTTCTGCACACTTTAGTTGAAACGGGTGGTTTCTTTAGTTACTGTACTTTACTGACAAGGTATTTCTGCTGCTTACTGGTTATTTTTTCTTTTCAGACCATTCCTGGTGAGCCACGAGATTGCTGCGCGAGAAAATCCCAGCAGTAGTTCCTTAAATACTCACACCCACCAGTCTAACACATAAATGCAACCATGCCACATTCAAAGTCTCATTAATCACCTTCTTGCCCATTCTAAAGCCTGATTTGAACTTAGACAGCTAGTCTTGACCACACCAACATGCCCAAAAGCACTGCAATGAGACTGGTTGATTAGATATTTCTGTTAAAAGAGCAGCCTTATTTCATGTTGTTATCAAAATGTCACGAAACAAAGTGAACAGGATGAGTGAAAACGTAATACCAGTGACATGTGAAGCCTACAGCAGCTTGCCATTATAGCAGTTTTTATAGTGATACAGTCACAGTTCCTTGAGAACATACAGAAGGGCTGAAAAGGGGATCACAGCCTTTCAATTAATAGTAACTGAAAAAACGAACCGAAAGCATCAGTGATGATACATAAATATATTCAGGGTCTAATCACACTGTCCTTTCATTTCTGCTTCAGAGAAAAGAAAAGTTATTTTTGTGGAGCAGGTAAATCAAAGCTCAAAACACTATTAAATGCTTTCATGTAGACCTGGAAGCAGAAACTCATTATGTTCTCATTGGATAAATGACATTACAAGGTCCTATGCTTTAACTTTGGCTAGGAGTTTATCTCCTACTGAAATGGGTATGTTTTGGCATAATTATAGATGATCAGTGTTAGACTGACATGAACAGTTTCCATCAAAGGCATTGGGGTGTACAGTAAGGTTTATCGGCTGACATTACTGTGCCTATTAACTGGTTTTAAAACAAAGTACAAATACAGAGGCACAGACCCAGCTTTCTGCATGTCAAAGCCAAGACTGTTTTCTTTAGCGTTTCCATTTTCTGTCATATATTTTGGGGGAAGTGAGACCAGAGTTGCCCTCGCAGTGCTATAAATGGCTGTTCCACTAGGTCTTCACGCTGGAATTTCCCGCGTGTGACTTCACGTGAAGGAGAATAAAAACAGAAACTAGCAAACAACGCGAGAGTCGCCTAAAACAAAAGTATATAGACTCGGACAAACCGTTAAACGAAGACAAAATGCTTTTCTGTTCCCTTTTTATAGTTATCCCTGTGTTTATCTAGAAAAATCACGTCTTCTACCTAGCGCTGAACTGTTTTGATGACGCAAGAAAGGCGTAGATATACTTTGATCATAGGGGTGCATGTATGATATTATTGCAATACGCCATTTGTGTAATAAGACTATTGTACTTATGGGCGTTAGTTATGTTTTTAATATTATAGAGTATCAGTATTTTTTTGTCTGTGTTAATACTAGAGCCAGAACACTTAATCCTTGAACTCTAAGTTATTCATTTCACCCCTCGTATAAACTAGTGGTTCGTTCCGCGGAGGGGCGGTTTAGAGGTTCCTGTAGCTTCTCTGGATTTGCCGTGACGCGCAGCCTCGTCCTGTGTTTGGGTGCTTTACTCGGGTATAGGAGAACCGTGGAGTACACATAAACTAGGACTAGCTGTCCGGAGCGGATCTTGAAGATCAAGGTGAGTTTCACGAAAGCGGAGTCCTAAAATAGTGGCGGTGTTGTCGTTAAAATGAGTCCATCGGTGTTTAACAACGCCAAATAACGGTCACGAATCAGCCAGACTGAAGTACTCGGAGGATGCCAGTGTGCTGCTAGCTTAACTTCTTGTTAGCAGGAATTTGTTAAACGGTACTTAAAAGGTCGCTCGGGTTACTTTGAGCTGCCAGCATTTGAGGTAGCATTCTGCAGGCCGTTTAAACTACCGACGGAAAGAAAAATGGGCATTGGTGAAGGTTAACTGTGCTTCCAACAGACTGGAAAGTTCAGGTAGAAAACCATTGGCTATTCTGTTGATTCACAGCTGAAGGTCTGCTAATGGTCTTAATCCTGTGTTAGCGTTAGACATTTAACGTAGTGAACTGGGAGTGCTTGTAGATGTACGTATAATGTTTTGGTTATATGACATGTTAATTATAAAACTCAAAGTTTTAGATGTTTTTGTGTGTGTTGTCTACTGGGATTGGTGTTGTTAACGTTGCTTAGCTTGTTTTCTGTCCTTGATTAATATTTACGTCGTGTTACGACACACGGAGACAAATAGAACAAACAATAGGGTTTCTTTTAGGTTATTTACAAAACATTTTAAATGATTCCAGCTCTACTGGATGATCATATATGTTGTTGCATGTTCTCAGATCAGTTGTTGAGTGAATCCCGCTATCTCGTCCAGTTGTAAAAGGTATTTACTGTGTGGAGACAAACCCCATAATAATTAAAATATTCAGTGCAGAGATCCAAAGGCACAGTAATAATCATTCACTCTTTTTGTCTGATGTTGTGCCAAAAAGTAATTGCCAGTATTTAAACCGAGTATATCACCTACAACAACATAGGTTATTGAATAATGTCCTCGAACAACATTCCTGTCAGAAGGTAGAAGCTGCGATCAGTTTTTGGTGAAAGGACTTTTAACAGCTCTATAAATCAATTTTAAATGGCAAAAAAGGGGACTGGATTCATTGTCAAAGGAGCTTGCAAAGAAAAGCGTCTGGACTTCTTTAAGTTGCTTGAAGACGTTTCACCTCTAATCCGAGAAGCTTCTTCAGTTCTAAGGTCAAATGGTGGAGAGTCCCAGATATAAACCTAGTGGGAGTGACCCCCGACAGAGGGACAAAAGGACCCCCTGATGATCCTCTAATCGCCTGAGCCAAGGTGTGAAACTGGGTGTGGGACCCAATCAGCCAGAGTTTCGGGTATGTTCATTGTGAAACCTGTGTTGTAAACCCCCGCCTCTGTTCAAAGATGGTCGCTCACAGTGGACATAGATGGCTTCTTTCTTTCTGTGTCCACTGTGAGCGACCATCTTTGAACAGAGGCGGGGGTTTACGACACCAACTCTCTGCCATCTATAATCCAGTTTTGAGATCCCTTCCCAGACGCCTTAATGCCCACTCACATCCTGGGCCATCTGACCTCAGGAAATCTCATGATAGGGTGGGGCCAGGTTTCA